AGTTGAGGCTCACCATGCACATCGTACGTATGTTTACGGCACATTTCCAAGGACTACGAACATAGAACACATAACGGAGATAAGCATATACGCGGTATCATACCCTTCATTCGCTGGCAACAATTTCTAAGGGCGACGAGGACAAACAATCAGCCTTGCAAAGCAATACACAACAAGTAAGACGACGTGCGACGTGCGGCAAGCGAGGCGATAATGGAAGTGATCGTTGCTGCCATGTACATGGTACCTGAACATACGCAAATGAAGCCCGACACTCTTGGAGAGCAGGCAGATAACGCTGTACTGGATGAACTGAAATGTACTGCATGATGTACTGGAATACGTCACGCTCATGACTTTAGCAGGCGTAGGAGCAATGATTTTCAGAGTTTCCATACAACCGTGCAAATGGCATTGATATAGTATTGGCTACCCTGGGGCAGTCAGGCCCTATCAATTGTAATTGATGGGATGGATGAACTTAGAGGGAATCTCAGTTTTTAGTGAATGTGATGAGATTGTTGGGACCATTTTTATATTACGAATGGATGGCTGTCACCAAAGCCCCGGACAAGTGCCTAGGTAGTGCTCATGGCCCAATCTGTCTGACTTAAGCCATTGTGCCGTGTTTGACTTTATATCCATCAAAAAAACCCTAGCGCTTCTAGTTTGTCGGCATTTTGAGTTTCCCAGTTCTTCTTCGGACAGCTCCCCACCCTCATAAACCAAGAAGTACTGGTACTGGTTACACGACCTTATCATTCGAGCATTGGCTATATCGTCAATACTCACGCTTCGGGCTGTCAAAACGGTCGCGCCGTTAGGTCAGTAAAGAAACTGACCAGAAAAAGAAACAGCAAAAGAGCTCTGAACTCATTATGTTGTATTCGACCGTTTTCTGGGCGGGTCACATGGGCCGTTTCCATGCTCACTGCCGGCGCACGACTGCGCACGGAAATCGGCAAACATCGGCCCGCTCCTCCGCCAGTACGGGAGTCAGCCTCCTCCCCCGCCACTTCCACACGTCGACTTCCAAGAAAGTCGACGTGTGTACATGAGTCGATAAAGTTAGTACATACGGCCCGAATGTGGTAGTCAGCCATTATTTTTCGCAACAAACCAGAAACGAGGGACCAGGAAGAACCCCAAAAAACCAATGTGAAATGACGTCGAGAAACCAGTAGGAACCAAGATCAAGCCTATCGCTAGACCCACAGAATCAGAAAAAACAACAACATCCCGCTTGGGGTACGCCTGGAGATTCGACAGGAACCAGGATCCAGCCTGGAATCGTGCCAGAGCATCCAGCAAGAATCCAGAGACCCAGCGTGGTGATGATTGGAGGGGGATGGATCGTAGCATGACGGTCAATCCTCCCCCTAATTTGCGTTCGTCAACATATTTCAGGCTCTTCCTTTTGACAGACTGAGCATCGGCGAAATATGGCTTTGTTTGAGAATCATACTAGTCAAGGCATCAAACAATACCCATGCAATGAAGGCTCTGTCTTTTGTCTAACATTCCACCTTTTGTAGATTCCAGCAAAAAAAGATCTGGGGCTGAACCAACATTGGAGGGGAATCAACATGAGAATGTGGGAGGCAGGACCCCTCTAAATATGGAAACACACACCCCTGTTATGCTGGAATGACAATCAGATAGCCTCAGCTATAAGATAATCACTTCAAGTCGCCGACAATAATCATCAGCTAACGGCAAGGGCTTATTTGTTGCAGTGGTGGCATCAAGACGTGCAATGGGACTTTGATTATTATGCGTCGTCAAACAAGCGTGGGCAAGGTGATGGTATATTTAGCCTCAGGTACATACAATCAAGATCAAGCACGCACATGAATGCGTTCCCATTTTCTGAGATCGCTTCGCGCTGCCTCCAACCGAATCACGATGCCGAATTCAATGAGACCGAACACGAGCGTTGAATGGGATAACCATGACGTGACACCTCTCAGCGATTGGGACAGGGCAGCCACAGAGTGCAGCGCGCCAGAAAGTGGCGTATACGACTTCGCTCCGTTTCCAGCGCGCTGCCCAGTCACAGGCACAGATAGCGTCTGATCGAATGTCACGTCACGAAATCCTGTCACGAAGATTTCATCCCACCGTGACAGGGCTGCTGACCCCGGGACCTCGCCGACCCCGAGCGGTCTCAGCGAGACCAGACACCCGGTCCTTACGGTCGTGCGACCGGCGGTCCGCGGGCCGGCCGGGGCCGCGGCGGCGGTCAGCGCGCTGCATTATGTATCGGCAGCTCGCGACCGCTGTTTGGCGCCCATCCCTATGGCAACGGGTGGGGATCGATCGTCACGGCCGAGGCGGGGGCGGAGGCAGGTGCTGGGCGCGGCCGCGCGCCGCCGTGCACGGCTCGGGCACGACCCCCGGCCGCGCCTCCAGCGATCGATGGGCACGGTTGCGGCCTCGCCGCTCGCACCAGCCCCCGCCCCCCCCCCCCCCCCTCGCCGCTCGCACCGGACCCGATCATCCCCACCGCTCGCACCAGCCCCGTCGCCTTCGCCCTCGCCCTCGCCGCTCGCACCAGTCCCCGTCATCCCCACCGCTCGCACCACACCCGTCACCATTTCCGTTCGCACCAGACCCGTCGCCCTCGCCGCTCACGCCACCCACCGCCTCCCTCGCCACTCGCACCAGCCACCGTTCTCCTTGCCGCTCGCACCAATCCCCGTCCTCCCCGCCGCTCGCACCAGACCCCGTCCTCCTTGCCGCTCGCACCAGCCCCCCGCCCTCGCCGCTCGCACCAGCTGCGGTCCTCCTTGCCGCTCGCACCAGTCCCCGTCCTCTCCGCCGCTCGCACCAGACCCCGTCCTCCTTGCCGCTCGCACCAGTCCCCGGCTTCCTCGCCGCCCGCACCGGACTCCGTCACCACTTCCGTTCGCACCAGTCCCTCGCCCTCGCCGCTCGCACCAGACCCCGTCACTATTTCCGCTCGCATCAGCCCAACGCCGCCATCGCGGAATCGGTTCGGTGTCGAACCAAGGATGGCCACGATTCGGCGAATGAAGATTGTTTTGAATAGTTGAATATTGTAAGCGAATCACAATCCGAGAGTGATAAGCACACTTTCCCTTATTCAGCATTGAGTCCAGCGACGGCGAAGTGTATCAAACAGGTATGCGGCTTGCCTTTCATACGCTTGAACCATTTCGTACACCCGTGTTAATATCGAGCGCCCGGCTTACAAAGACAAAAGAACCGGACGTAGTTTCGTAGAAAGTACGCATCTAATTTTGGTTTGTTCTTGGGACCTTCATAAGGGTTGGAAGAGACATACCTTCTCAATGCCCCTGTCGCATTTTCGAACCAGACAGTGGTTCATGTTGGTGGAGGTGGGGATGGGGGTGGGGGCACTTTACGACGCACCCGGCTGGTGGGGCTACATGGCCATCCTTTACGATGAACCCTTCTTTCAAACCAAATCGTCAGATATTACGTAAATATGGGCCTCACCCCAAAACTTACAAAAAATAGAAAGATAGTTGTGTGCAATTCTTATAAAGCAATCTACCCAGCATTGCCTGTTGCAGCATTCTTTTCCCGAAATCGCTTCAGTTTCGACGCCGAATGCCAAACATTACGAAATCACTGCAGAACAAATACACCAACGTCGTGGCATTTGCTTCCATTAAATATACTGAACAGAACTACCGCTGGCCTCGGCGCAATAAACCCAATCCACTCGGAGCCCCGTGGGCCAATTTTGACACGCCACACCCCACGTCGAATTCGCATTGAGCTAAGATCATCTTAGTGGGAGCAGTCTGCACTGCCCGCCTGGGTTGAAGCCGTGTTCCACGGACACCAGGCCGTCCACCAATGCCGTCCCGAGCCGGTAGCCCCGGTTACGGCGTTCAAACCAGCGCTGCTCGGCTGACACGCGGTCGATTGGAACACGGCCGACAGTGCCCTTGGAGCCTCCAACGCAATCCAGAGCAACCAAACATCAGCCCTGCGACTCGCGAGCCCGCCTCGTGCGTTCAGTGCTGCCATCTACGGGACGATCAGCCAATCGCTTTTCCGGGCTAAACTCCAGGTAGCGCCACCTGCCCTTTGGTAAATCCTCGGGATTGAACGCCAGACGCTGGTCCCTCCCATTCGCGGCGCCGCCACCCACGAACACGTCCCCCAGACGCCTGCACGTCCCGAACGGCTGGTCTGGTGGCCGCTGTTTCCGACCGTGCTAGCTTCCCTTGACAGAAGAGGCAGCCTCTGGTGTGAGGCTGGATGGGGCAGCCACACACCCACCAGGCTAGCCCCAAGGCGGAATACAGCACCCGGAGAAGGTACACAATGGCTGGTCTGGTGGCCGCTGTTCCCGCCCGTGCTAGCTTCCCTCGACAGAAGAGGCAGCCTCTGGTGTGAGGCTGGATGGGGCAGCCACACACCCACCAGGCTAGCCCCAAGGCGGAATACAGCACCCGGAGGAGGTACACAATGGCTGGTCTGGTGGCCGCTGTTTCCGACCGTGCCATCTTCCCTCGACAGAAGAGGCAGCTTCTGGCGTGAGGCTGGACAGGGCCAGCCACACACCCACCAGGCCAGCCCCAAGGTGGAATACAGCACCAGGAGGTACACAATGCACGACAGTGGACTAATATTGGGAACAGAAGCACGGACGGCTTCTCCGCCCTGTCGCCGCGCGCGCAGGCCTATATCTGTATATCGATACTCAATGGCAGATAGATAAAACTAATAAGGAGCACTCGACTGCAGCATGTTGTTAACGCATGGCCGAAATATTCCGGCGTCTAAGCGATGCAAATCCCCTGTGTGTGCACAAACAGTGGGGCATAACTTAACCTTTCAGCGGCAAGAGGCAGGAGCAGGTACCTGAATACATCCTCATCTATCTTATGTAATCAATCTTAATTACATGCCACTCTGCAATCACACACCCTGCCAACAATAAATTCTGCAGTCTCTGATCAGGAAGGAAAGTGAAAAAAAATCGGGAGAACAGTACTCACTAGCAATGTGTTGCAGACGTCCTCCCAAACTGTATCTGAAAATGAGAGGTGCTGTCAGAACTGATGCATCATCATCTCAAAGACCATCAACCACCTGTTTTTGTTGTTGTAAATACAACAGGCCCTCATGAAAGGGATCAGCAAGACACATATGGTCTAAACAAGCAAAATATCATGCAACATCATTTGTACATCACTCGCACATCAATGCCACAGATGCATCTGAGAAAACCAACAATGTAATGGCCTCTGCAGAGAGTTGCTCATGGGTCCAACTCAGCCATTTTCTACGATATATTGGGTAAAAACATTGGGGGAAAAGAGAGGCAAAATGTAAACATGCCCTCACCACTCCCCATCTTTTAGGCATGTATCAACATGCACACGCACACGCACACGCACACGCAAACGCACACGCACACACACACACACACACACACATATATATATATATATATATATATATATAGATATATATATATATATATATATATATATATATATACATGTTTGATTAAAAATAGCTGCTGACTCAGCATTGACAAGCTTTTTGATGCATCGTTCTAGTTTCCGGGCATTTGGCTTGGCGTCATTGCTTAGATTAAAGATGATTTGCACAAAATTACTCATATATTCATCACTTCATCCATTCTAACATTTCGAGATCCTATCTCATCGTCGGAGAAGGCTCACTGGCACAAGAAATAAGTTTTGAGTTATAAAGGATGAAAAATTGTGTGCTACTGTTCTTGCTACTATTGTACGCTATTCACTATTCTCGCTACTATTGTGCGCTACTGTTGAAAACATCTTTTGGTACAGCGAACATAAATGAAGCATAACTAATTAAAGTAAGACAGTATCCGATTTTCATTTTCATACATGTAAGAAACACTCATAATGGGAACACCACAAAGACACAATGGGAACACTATTGCCACAATCACATCAGAAGTGCTCAGTGATTGTGGAAATAGTGTTTGTGGCAAGGTGATTGTGGCAATAGTGTTCCCATTGTGTCTTTGTGGTGTTCCCATTATGAGTGTTTCTTACATGTATGAAGATGAAAATAGGATACTGCCTTACTTCAATTAGTTATGCTTCAGTTATGTTCTTTGTACCAAAAGATGTTTTACAACAGTAGTGCACAATTTTTCATCCTTTAAAACTCAAAACTTATTTCTTGTGCCATTTAGTCTTCTCCGACGATCAGATAGGATCTCAAAATGTTAGAATAGAAGAAGTGATGAATATATGAGTAATTATGTGTGAACCATCTTAAATCTAAGCAAAGACACCAAGTCAAAGGCCTGGAACCTAGAACAATGCATCAAAAAGCTTGTCAATGCTGAGTCAGCAGTTATTTCTAATCAAACATGTATCAAAGAAAGGATTTTGCCAAAAGATTCCAATATATATACATATATATATATATATATATATATATATATATATATATATATATATATATATGGCTTCATGGACAAGATGTATCAAAAATGTCTTCTACCTCTCCCCTGTCCCACTATCCCTCCAGTGTAGCATCAGCTGGTGGTGCAGCACCCACCTTCACTTTACTTCTTTGCTTGTGAACATAAGCACAGCTTGAAATGCAAAGTACTGTCAGTAAAACTGACATTTGTTACATTACATTACATGCAATGTTCCACTAAATATACATATATACATATACATTAAATATATATATATATATATATATAAAGTTTAGAACTGAGATAGCCACAATGAGGATCATTTTGTGCCATTCACAGCCATACCCTTCATAAGACCTAAACCTCTCTGGTTTCTGAGCATGCAAAGATGTGCAGATTATTTTGGAGACCATTTCATGGTCACCCAGTCATCCATCATCCCATGATAACTCTACTGAAATCCTGCCATTCCACTAGTTATGCCACCATTAAGACCCATAAAAATATAAGTTTTGAGTTGTTCATACCTGGTGTTTGTGGGCATGATTTCCAGATGCATGGGCCATCAAAGTAGTACACTGCGTAATTGTGTAATCCAATAGCATATACAAAATGATATTCACTAAACAGAGTAACTGGGTTGCCTAGAGCAGTCTTTTTAACTTAAAACACATACTAATAGTGATAGAAGCAACCTTATATCATCAGATCTCATAATTGCTTCAACATCTTCAAATGTGGAACATTTTCCTTAGCTGGTATATCCCAATATGCATATGTATACTAAAAGGAAATGTTTCACATTTGAAGGCATTGAAGCAAGCATTAAATAATGTTATTGTTTAGCAAATATGCACATTAATGCATCACGGTTTGATTACATTATCGTACCTTCCACAACATTGATCAAGAGCTAATGACAGCTGTTATGTCTGGAAATCACACCCACAAATGCCATACATGAATGCCTCCACAATTACATTTTTCTTGGCCTTGACTGCAATGGCTAATAGAATGGTACATTGGGGCTTTGAAACACTTCCCAAAATACTCATGTATTTCCTGGACAAGATATATCAAAAATGTCCTCACCTGGGAGTGTACTGTGAGAGTGTAGCTCAGAAACAACAGGGGCATAGGTATGAAGACAGGTAGGGTTCTGAACTGCACCAAAATATCTTCAAGATGGCTATTTGAATTCAAAATCCCATGCACATGTGGAACAGTTCCTCCTGTCTCTATCCAGTGATAGAGGCATGATTGCCAAATGATCACAAAACAGCATCAGTCATATTTTAGTTAAGGCTGAGTTTTACACCTGCAAGTCAGCAGCTAAAATATCACACTTAAAGTGAGTGTTCTACATTTCTGAGGTTTTCAAATGACAAAGACATCTTAAAGATCATTCAGTGCAGCTCACAGCACTGTCCCTTCTTAAGAACCAAACTTCCCCAGTTTCTGAGCTGTCAGCAAAGATGGAGACTATTTCAAGGTCACTCAGGAAAATGGCTTCACATTTTTTGAATATCTGTGACTCAATTAGTAATGAGGTGATCAAGGCTAAGAAATCTATACATGCTAAGCTGTTCACATCTGGTGTTTGTGAGCACAATTTCCAGAAACAATGGCCATCACTTGTGTAAAAACACATCCTGGCCACATGTCAAAATTATCTGAAGACCACTTAAGGGGTTTTGCAATGCAAACTTTGCATAATTGGAGCAATGATATGCCATTCTAGAAACATTGCAAGCATTCTGCACAAAACAAGAAAATGGGTAAGGTGGACATTTGTATTTGACTGTATAAGAACACATTGCACATAACTGGCACTATGACCAGGTTAAAACCCTACCTAAAAAATATGATAAATATTATACTCAAATCAGACACTGAATCATAACTAGTGATATAATGCAGATCAATAAAGGTCATCCCATTGGACAAGCAAGCTTCTGTTTTTCAAGATGGAGCTTTAGGGTAATAATCACTGATTGATCAACATAATAACTGAATGTGTAGTCTACATATAGAAGTAAAAAACTGGTATGAAAACACGCATGCAAAATAAGATATCCAGTACCAGTACTGCAGGCCACTAAATTTACAGCCTAGCCCAGGCCCAGCCCTAGCCCTGGCCCACCCTACCCATTCTTGATATACTATTGTACAATAACATATATTACTAATCAATCATTTTACCTTACTAATATGTCATATTTAACATTCTGACCACATCAATGATCAGCACAACTGCAGAAAATGCCCCGCTCTAAGATGGAAAAAAGTGCTGGCCTTGATCTGGTGGGATGGCCATGAGGCGTCTGTGTCAATGCTGTGCTCTCAGTGTTACGGACCGATATCCATGCTATTGTTTCAATGTAAAGATTTGAAGGTAAGATAAAAATATCACTTAATATCCCTGTTTGAAAATTATTTACGGCATTTAATGACATAACATATTAATTACTGTACAATGCAGTTAAAGTATAAGGTAAAAACACAACTGATTACCAGAAGAAAACTAATATCTTCCTTTCAAGGCCAGTCCACAAAAAGTTGGTATACAAAAAAAAACAACAAAAAATGTCTATAAATATGCCATGTCTGTGTAGGCCTACTCAATATTACCATGCTGAACCTCACGCCCAGCTGAATTCCAATGAACTTTAAACTATGTTAGTGACAAATGCTTTGGGAAGCATCTTTCCTACAAATCACCTCTGCAACATCATAATTCTTTAAAAACTCAGGTACATATGCCCTGTAATTGGTCACATCCATACACCAACCTCACAGACCTTAAAATAAACCCTGCACATATGCCAAAATATTTTCTCCCACCTTACTACCTTGGCCATTAAGTTTGTCACATGTATTTTGACCCATGGCTTGCACACATTCTCATTTTTATAACATTTTAAAGAAAATCACAATGGCACTCATCACTATGCTTCCTAGCTGTACCTGAAATATGGCTTCCAGGATTAAACTATCGCTTCCACGAAATTTTTGCAGGACACTAACCACACACACACACACACACACACACATATATATATATATATATATATATATATATATATATATATATATATATACACCACACCCTAACACATAAGCAATGCATCCAACCATTATGGCGCCAAAACGTTGATGGGCCGCAATGGTGCCGAATGCGCGTTCTATGTCGTAACTCACCAAGCACCACCGAACAATACCACACAAGTAAACAAAGCTCACCAAAGAAACCCCGAGAGACACGATGAACACCTGCAAAAAAGAAAAGCCAGGGCAATCTTCGCGACTAAAACGTCCGAAACCGTCTCCCTCTGCAATGGCGGCGCGGCGTGAGCAACCGGGAGGCACACTCAGGGGCCACGTTTGGCGCCGGTCAAGGGTCGTCGATGAATGTGGCGAAAGACAGCAAAGACTTAATCCAAGCTGGTAAAAGCGTCTTTGTACTGCCTTGGGTTACACTATCTCACAGAAAAATAATAAGACGCCGTTTTCCTCCATTTCTCGGTGAATTACTATAAAATGAAGAAAATTAGACCAAAAACCTTGTATTCTTTTTAACGATAGTCATTACATATCAACGTACGATATCGACGAAGGATAGGTACCTTGCATTCAAAATGTACGCTTCTCGCTCAAATATTTGAGCTCATTTCATTAGCGAAACTAATCCTCCGAACCCCGTTTTGCTACGAATGTAGCAGCAGAAAGAAGAAAGTCTATTAAATGCTTGAACTTTTACAGCTCATCCTCTAAGTGACGTATATACCCGGTCCAAATTCGCAGGATTTTGGAAAAAAATGCATAAAGATTCAGTTGAAAGTCACGAGTCTCTCAAGATGAGCCTTTCGGGTCCTAAACGACTGATTTCAGTTCAGCATCAACATGTTCTTTAATGGGTAAACCGAGGCAAACATGCATCCGGATCCCGCATCAGGGAGGGTATAAATGTCAAATGCTGTCATTTTCCAACCGTTTTTCTGCAAAAAAAAACGCCCTTCATCTTGTTAAAGGGGGTGTTTCACGTTTAAATGTATCAGAGAAAGCATCACATATGATGAAACAAGCTCAATCACAGCTTTTTGTATGCTTTTAAATGTAAAAGAATGATCTAGGCAAAACAACTTCTCTGTTTAGCAAATATGCTCGTCGATGCGTGATTGTTTGATTGCGTAATTGTACGTTGCACAACATTGATTAAGAGCCAATTGACGGCAGTTTCATCTGGAAATCGACCTCAAAAAACGCCACATGTGAACGACGCGATCATTATATTTTCATTTGCCTTGACCTCCACGCAGCTTATAAAATGGTAGGATCAGTTTTTATATGTCGTACATGCCGAGGTGACTTTGAAATACTCTGCTCGAAATAACTGGAAAACTGGAGAAGTTTAGGTCTTACGAAGGGCAGGGCTGTGAACTGCACCCAATGATCTTCAAGATGGCTATCTCGGATCAAAACCCCCAAAAAGTGTTAACTACTCCCTGCCAGGCTTTTTATTTCGTTCATAGCATAGCCCCATGCCGCGGATCCCGTGGCACGCCCCTGGGGCTCCGTGGTATTTGGTTTGAAGCATATAGAGCCGCCCATCTAGTGCGTTACGTATTTAACCTATTTAATTACATCACGCATATTTAACGCGGTGAATTAAGCTACGCTTGTTTTGCTTTTCTCATCCACCATGCCTATGCGTTAAAATCCGCAGGCTGGTTGGCGCCCCTTCCCCTCAATACGGGCGCGTTGCTTGTCATGAAAGAATACCATCGGTATCCGAGTTTGGTCAATCCGCCTATCGCAACTGAATAGCGCGTAGCCAGCCCCGCACTAAGACGGCCATGAAGCCAAGCGCAATTAAACGAATACTTCATTACATCTCACCGGATCGCTTCCAACCGGATTGATTTCGACCCGGCTGCCTACTGCCTGTCGATACGTGTTGATATCCGGCGGGCGGGCGGCCGCCAGTACAAAGTTTCGACTTCCTTGCCAATGTGTAACGGTCGATAAACTGGTGGATGAGAACGGCATTTCGCAGAGAAGAAAGCGGAGAACTCCGCGGGGCGAACGTTTTGAGCGAATGCAGCCAAAGAGTATGAAGTTCGATAAAAGTATGGATTGAGATTTGGCATCGTGGACTGGAGTTTACATCCTTACTTCTTTGTCGGTTTTCTGGCCCAAACTTGCTCAGTTTCGGCACCAGCGTGATGCATTTGAGATTGTTCTGTTTAGAATGGCGTAATGGGTGATAAAGACCGGGTCAATAGACGAACCAAAGACACATGTCAGAGACAGAAGACTGATATCACGCTTCCCAGGTAATAGCTGACATTGCTACGGATTGCAAATTCATGGGCTGCCAGCATTTATGCGCTGGCTGGCTACTTTGTGCACGCTACATGCACCTACATAGGAAGCTGGCTTCACGTCGTCGGTTCAGGACGTCGGGATGGCTGACATCAACTCTGGACAACGCTTCCGAGCAGTCACATCAGTTGTTTGGGCGCCAGCGCGTGGATGTGGCCGTCCGCGCGCAACGATTCATACTGTTGCCCGCTCTCTTCCGGATCGAAATGTGCTCGCGCACGGCGGCCTTGCACTGCGCATTTCTTGTCTTCCGCGTTGAACCAAGCAATGGGACAGTTTTGCTCGTGTCACGTGGCCAGCTGGCACGGACACCGATCCGTGACTGTCTATGATAGATTATGAAAGTTAAGCGCAATATTAACACAAACTCGGGGGATGACCCAATTTCTCCCCCGAAGGTCCTCTCAGAATGATTTCGGGATGGTGTGGCTGCGCCGCGCTAAACGCTGCACAACTGTAAAAATCAAATAGCAGATCCCTTGATTTAAGAAATTAGACGTACCTTGTAAAGTCACTAACCCATGGCAGGTCAAAGTCAGACCATGGCCCTCAGCAAAGGCCATTTCTAAGGAATCGCTCGATCTGATGCGACAGCAGATTGTTAGACGAAGCGTCTCTAAGATTGCCATGACAGGGACGGTACCAGGCAGGTACCATGGACTTTTTAAAGGTCGGAGAAGGTTACCGATCTACAGTGACACACGCCAACATTTTGTTTTTAGGAACACACGCCAACATTTTGTTTTTAGGAACATACCGCTTAGCGTAATCCTTGATGGCATCTCGATGGCAAAATAGGAGCAATCTCGTAGGTTTGTGGTAGCCTTGACCTTGTGAAGGCAAAGCAGGGTCCCTGACCTTAAATTAATATCATTGATCCCATAACAATGACTAAGCACCCAACAAAAGTCGTTCGGCACAAGGTGATCCTGTTGACCCAGACGAGGTCTCTTAATATCCTACCTCCAAGATGATGGCAACGACCGCATACCTCGTCCAAAAGTATCCGATTATCGTGGGGTGCCTTATATCTCGTATTATCCAGAGACCCCATGGAGGACCAAAACCACTAAAGCTTTGTTTTCTTCCGAATTAACATACGCGTAGACCCTGGCAATGCAACGGTCTTTCCGGTGATATTTGACGGGTCTTTGGGAATCGCCATCTTCAGATGTCACCGAGGCATAGAAGGATGGTTCCGCGCATCAGAAAACGTTGCGTACTTGTTGAGCACGAGGCACACGCAGGTCACGTGATATTATAAAATAGACTGCCATTTTTGCATAATCCATAATTTACCACATCACACGTTTTTCAGTGAAATCGGAGCCTGTCTTTCAAACCACTGTTCTCATTATAAATGCAGCAGGGTGCGTTTGGGTGTAGATGTTCCTGAAACTTCTGCATGATATAGAACTAAAGTGCGCGAAACAAATAAACGGAGGGCTAACGGAGGCCCGCAAACATAGGAATGGGTAGCGGATGGCTATGAGCACGTAAGATGGGTAAGGGTAGATTGGATGAGGAATATATGACCTGCGAAGGGCTCTGTTGAGCATTTTGCCGATATTTAACTCATTTCAGCATTGAAATTCATCATGAAGTTTCAGTCTTTACGTTATAACCCCTCCTGTCATAATTTTGTTCAAAAGCCTGTTTAGGAAAAAATGTCTGAAACACCATGAAACATTTGGAAGCCTGGATCTCGTTTGTCCATTTGTTCCAACTTCTCTTCAGTCTTCTCTATGGCGAACATATCCACGCTTTTGTAGTACGCTGGGTCCATTATCGGGCTTCATCTGCGGTCGGCGCTCCGCTGTTGCGCATGGTCCTGTCATGCGCCCCTGCCTGTGGATCTTGTCGTGACCTCCGCCTCCACCGCCAGCCATGTTCCGCGGCCTCCTCCTGCTCGTGCCCCAGCGCCGTGTCGCTGAGCTGGGGTCGGCTCAGAGGCCGCATACGCGTCCGTGGGACCACCGACGCGGACGGTCGGGCAGAGGCTGCGCCGACCAGCGACGATGGCGTCAGCGTCGCTCGAACCACGACAGAGGTGCGGGGTAGGTGAACCGGTCGACAGATGACAACGCCATTGTAGGGGTGGACGTGTTGATTAGGACGGACAGAGTCTGTGAACGTACCACAGCCAAACGACCGCACAAGACGCCTTCGGGTCGGTTTAGTAGGCTCACAGACCATGGCGTCGGCGGAAGGCAGTTTTGGGCTTCTGTCACGCGTGCACATGCTCCAGCAACCCCTCCCTTCCCATCACTCTGGGTAGACAAATACTTCAGGCGTCTGAGACAGATAAACATCCGCCCGGCGGACGCAGCATGGCAAAATCTGACCGCGTTAAGGGGGGGGGGAGAAAGCAGAATGAAATAGATCGCCCGCGCTCTTCATTTTACAATGGTCCAGTGGACTCTTTTAAAATGATAGAACTCAGAGACTTTGTCAGAATTTGTGTCAAGTTCTGATTTTGCCAATTTTTTTGAGTCATACACAAATAGCAGGGATTCCGCGAATATAGATTCAATATAAAAATGGGTCAACAATCTGTATTAACATGGCCAGGCCATGTTTGCTGCGTTCCAAATTCATCCAGTAGGGATGCAGGATGTGAATATGATTTGATGCTACAAGAATCCTCGCCCTCCAGTGGCCTCCGCACGCAGTTCGTTGGCACTAATCCGCTACCATTTGCTCCCGAACTCAGACATCTGGCCTGCCCAGCACATTGCCAAGCATGAGCCGCTTAGATGCTGGGTGGACAGCCGTCCGGTTCGATGTTGATTGGCTGTTTTTGAGCAAGGGGAGTGGCAACAGTGAGCCCCAGGCCGGTGTGCATAGAATGAAGACGTATCGACATCCCTGCCAACCAAGTGCCCGAATATTAGAACACTACATGTTTGTACAGATATCTTCAACATTCAGTCAGAAATGATTACAGGCACAAATTATGCAACGTAGTTTTGAGCATGCCCGCTCGCATATCTTCAAAACAAAAAACTAGACGCCAGGCGTTGCAGTCGCCGTTAGACGCGCGGCGCCGGACCCGCGGTTTACCGAAGGCCGTGGCCAACAGGTGGCAGAAAGCAGTGACGCATCTGAATGAAG